ACTCTTGGAGTGAATAGATCCCTCCTCTCTCTCTCTCTCTCTCATCTATATATATATATATATATATATATATATAACCTTTTTTTTTCTTGAGCTGATGGTGTGAAATATTGTACAGGGATATTACTGTTTGTTCAGTGACTATTATATGCCTTGTAATAGGTTAATAAATTATGTGATTATATCATACTGTCTTGAATAGTAGTTTTAAATGGTCATATGAATTAGAAACCCACATGTAGAATATTATGTTGTGTATATACCTTTGTTAATTGTAACATGTCTTTATTTAGTATACCATAAACTTCTATTCTAACAATCGGTATTATCTTCTATGCACCTTGAGACATAGTTGAAACTCCTCCCAATCAATTGTTTTTATATTTGTAGGGAGTTTCTATTTGCATGGCAATATGGCATTAATTTGCTTCTTTACCCCATTGAAATCTATGCATGATTGTGTCCCATGGGCAGTGGTTTCAAACTTATAATGGTCTTTGAACCACATGCTGCTTCTCTACTTACTCTTTTTGGGTTTGCTGTGAAATCTGTACTAGGTAAAGAGAATATACGTACCTTTACCAGATGAAAATGTTCGAAAACTTCTGCTAAAACACAAGCTCAAGGGTCAAGCATTCTCCTTACCTAGTAAGCAATGTGCTTATATTTTATGTTTCTGATACATCTTTCATATATGTACTTTGTAGTGCCACGGAGTGTATTTTTTGGTTATTTTTATTCTTCTAGGGTATCCAGGGTTTATGGTGGCTGGCTTGTACCTACCACTTCATTTATTCTGGTTTCTTCTTAAACTTATTGCCAAATCTGGACGAATAATGTACTTGTTATTGTTTGCCAAACAACTACTTGAAAACACACGGATCAAACATGCAAAATTTTTATTTATTGTAAGAGATGTTATTTTCTGTATTTTGCTTTAAACCTTTGTCATTGACATCTTCCAAAAGAGCAGCTTCAGATGATTATTATTATTATTATAATAGTTATTATTATTTGCAATGGTCTTCTTTCAACTGAAAACTTTGGATTTTTTTTTGTTGCAGGTAGAGATCTAGAGAGGCTTGTAAAAGAGACAGAAGGTAGCTAAAATACATATTTTGCTCGTTCCTAGTTTGACTCATAAGAAATTTGAACAATGAGATATTTTGTTCTTTTTCTTTCTTTTTCATTTTTACTTTTTAAACATTACCATAATGTTTGGCAGGATATTCTGGTAGTGATCTGCAAGCCTTGTGTGAAGAAGCTGCAATGATGCCAATTAGAGAGTTGGGTCCTGGGATTCTTACTGTTAGGGCTAATCAGGCATGCTATTTTATTTGAATTAGTATATCTTTAGATGCGGATTTGCATAATCTTGTAAACGATAAACTTTATCTTATTGTTAGAAGTTAACTATTTTAAGTTTTACCAGGTAAGAGGACTGAGGCACGAGGATTTTAAGAAGGCAATGGCTATCATCAGACCAAGCTTAAACAAAAGTAAGTGGGAAGAGCTTGAGCGCTGGAATGAGGAATTTGGCTCTAATTGAAGCCATCACGCCATGTGCATGAAATTCGAAGAAAATAAACCAGTGTAGTGTGTACATAACTAAAATTAGACAAGACAAAGACATCAAGGTTAGTGGCTATAAAATAGGTTCTACTTAGCTGCTAGCCTCGAGGCCATTTGTTTTTAACCTTGAAACCTTAAAATGGCTATCAATCTTTGTTTTAACTTTTATTCTTTGTATATCTTCCTAATATTACTATTTTTAGTGATTGTAACAACACCTCTTCAGGGGAATAAAATATTGAAAAGGAAGTTTATAAACATGTCAGTGTATGAATTTTGATTTTTTTAATCTTAGTGTAGTCATTCTTTTCTTTTCTTTTTAATATTTTATCAACAAAATTTAGGGATTCTTTGGGGCTTTTGGTTAAAACCCATGTGAAGGATTCATTATAAACCTAATTTCTGAGAGTATATTTGACATTATTTATGATGGTGAGTCTTCTACTTCACAAGTATTCCTCTATGCTTATATTTGCTGTATTTTTATTGTATACATGCTTTAATTTTATCATTAAATGTAATTTGTTTCCATCCTTATTCAATTAACTTACGAAATTTAAATTTTGCGATAAAATCAATATTTGTACTAAGCAGAATTTGATTTCTTACTTGAGGGTGTAATAATTGACGTGTACGTTTGTGAAGTAATTTCTGATGGATTCCGAGACATTCAAGAAAATGGGAGTCGCCGATTTTCTCCAAGAAAAAGTAATTTCTAAAGTGAGAAACCATTATAATTTATTTAGTCATTCTTGTAATTTTCTCAAGAGTAAGGGACCTGTTGTTTTGTGCCAGTTTTGAATCTCACAAACTTATTTCATTCTTAGTCTTTTAAATCTTTTATTGGATAGTTCTTTATTCTTCTTCGTTATGGACCTGTCATTTCTCTTACATAATTTATTTTCCACTCAAGTTTATCATAGCTACCCATATTCAACCATGTCCGTTATTAGTGTGTGACTGTTATTATCACTTGAACTCGATTGTCATCGTCGTAGCTGGCAACTGTTATCTGTGTGATGGTCAGACCACCATGCGACCATTCACCCCTCAACTCCCACCTCCAAGTACTCCACAACAATGTCCTGTCACCACTAAGTCATTAACATGTAACATTTAAAAGTTTTCCTAATTTTCTAATGAGTTTCTTGATAAATTTGCTTCTATTATGCACGGATAAAGTGAGTTGTTGAAATATTGGAAAGAAGTAATACACTTTTGTAACAAATTTTTAATTACTTAATTATTTTGAGCATGTAGATCTTTAACAATTCTAATCCATTTGCCAAAGACAACATTTTCACTCCAATATTTGTACACTTACCTCACATAATCTTTAGTATATTGTAATATTGTTGTGATAGAAACATCAAACTATTTGTATTTTTTATACATGTTTTGTATATTGAAAATTTGTGAGTAAAATGAAAACTGTGTGTTGGTGTGTTTCAAGGAGTAAAACGAAACAATAAATCCAGTTTTATTTTAAAAAGATGTTATTTACACCAGTTGATTAAATAATCTATATAAAAGTTTTCACTTACTATATTAGATAGATCACAACGAACATGCTACCGTTATATAAGTTATTTTGAATGGATGTAAGGAGAAAAAAAAAATCTTTCATATTAGTGATTTTTCTTAGTGGTAAAGGATTGTTCTTATTTGTATATTTTCAATTTCATTGATACCTCACTCCTCTTAAAGAAATAATATCATGTGTCTGGTTTTCAATTTGACCTATTAACCAATTGAACCCGTTATTGAAACACAGGCTCTCTATCTCCCTTCTCTTACCTTTTTTTTTTTTCTCTATCTCTTTTATTTGTCTTTTGTCTCTTCTTCCCATTTTCTATGCTTTCTCTTTCTGGGTAACATTTTAAAAATAGAAAATATCACAGTACTACTTAACTTTCAAATGAACCTTGGGATTTCTCATATGAATATCTATGCACACGGTTAAGCCTCTATAAGGCAGAAACACACATGGCACACTATGATTGAGTTAGTGTAAGACAGCTTCTCATTTTGTATTTTTGCCAATTCTGTTACTTTCTTGCATCACACTATCTCCTAGTACAATCAGCACCGGTCTAAATTGTGGCCATGTGCTTCAGAATATGCTTTCAATCTCTTTTTTATCGTTTCACATCCCAAAATTGATCAAAGAAATTATGAGAAACTTCCTTTTCTTTTTATTTCTTTATTGTAACTATTATTGTAATTGCCAATAGAAATTTTATAAGAGTATAGCTGTATAGGTGGGCCTGATAGAAATTATTAATATTTAATTATTATCAAGTGTGGTTCAATAATATCTTATTTTTGTGATGAACATGAGATAAAAAATTTAATAATTTTTTCAATGATTATGGACTTATTATGCAAAACAATTGTTATTTTTTATAGTTAGTTTGTGCGCTGAATGTTGGGGTTGTACATCTTTAAAGGGAAAAAAGTGTACTTGTCTTGTGGAAAATAAAGCCATCAGACGCTAATTATTTAATTTTAACTCTTAACAATGCACTATGGGTGTAGAAATGACTGGAAATAATTTGCGAAATTCTTGTAATTAATTTTTCATATAAAATGCACTAACATATGTTTAACGAATGAAGAATAACGAAAAATAATTAAAGTGTGAACACGTGTGACCAAAAATTTAAATATAACGAAAAGGAAGTTGATTATTTATTTATCATCTCATATTCTTTATTGAAAATTGCATCGTTAATAATCTAAATGGTTGTAAGATAAAATTGATAAGATACATCATACATGAATGAACCTTTCAACACCAAGGCAATAACCACCATATATTAACGTAATAAATTTATTCTCATTATTAATAATATTATACTTTTTTATTATTTTCGCATTATCTCCAAGTTTATTATTCATCTTTTATCTATTACTATTTTTATAATATCAATTTATATATTTCTATTATTTTTATAGTTGAAATGTCTTTTAATAATATATATTGATAACTATAAGTCTACAAATATATTATAAATCATTAATATAATGATTGATAATTTTATTTAAGATTATATATATATATATATATATATATATATATATATATATATTGTATTTAACAAAAATAATTAATAGTTGTGCAGCAATTTTTTTTCTTATATTTAAAGAGAGAATGTATTATTTTAATTAAAAAATAAAAAACACTGGGACTAGCTTATTATTATGGTCAGAGTTTAAATAATTTACATGAGATAATAGTATTTAAATTTAATTGTCAATATTATTATTATAATAATATTGATCGATGCATTACGATTATAAATTTTTGATTATATAACAATGTTTTCTATTTTATTTTTAATTTTAAAACTATTACACAAATCAACCCGTCTGTCATGTTTGTTTTATATAAAACGCTAAAATCTTTATTTTTCTTGTTTAAACAATTAGACTACATTTAGGGTATATGTGAGATGATAAACTACGTTAAAAGGTTAAAAATTGAAAGATGAAGGTGTTAAATATAGGAAATTTTGAATGTTTTTAATTTTAAAATGAGAATAATATTTAAGAAAAAATGTATAAAATGATTTAATGGAAATTTTCTGAAATTTTATGTGAAACTAATTTTCAAATATGAAACCTATAAAATATCATTCTGATTATGATAAAGTAAAATTAAATATGATATGAATATATTATAGTTATAATATTTTTTATATTCAATGTTAGGTAAATATAGAATTAGATTATGGGTAATTATAATTATATGTTAGTAAATTGATTTTACTAAAAATAGATAGAAAGATGATTAAACTATCTAAATAATATATTTTATCATTAAAAATAATATTATATATATATATATAAAATTCTGTCTTTCTTTTATTTTTACACCTTTAATTATTACAAAATCATATTCCATCATTTATTATGGATGTCAATAATATTTTTTTATTTTAATTTAGGATAGTAAAATTAATTAGTTTCAGAGCAACCTTTTTTTTCATCAATCCGATAAAATGAAAATGAAAAGGAAGTTGAATTGTGGCTTTTAAAAAAAATTTATATATTAAAATCAAAATAAAAATTATAATTAAAAATATTTTTTATTATATTATTAAAATATGTAAATATATTATAATTTAAATCATAAATATTAAATATTAGTTATAATTAACATAAATATAATACTTTAATAAAGTTATCTAATAAAATATTAATTAATAAATAGAAATTTAAATATATTTATATAATTAAAATTATATTTTTTTAAAATACATATTAAAAAAGTTATATAAAAAAGTTATTGATAGAATAATATGTGAATTTGTTTTTTATAAAGAAGTTAGAATTTATAATCTTATGGAGTCTATTGTCTTATACAGATAAAATAAGACAGATTAACTAATTTTATTTTAAATCAAATATATAAAAGAATATATTTAACATAATCTAATAATTTTCTCTTTACTCCAACTAATATAAAAATTAAAATAATCATATTTTTGTTCTAATATCAAACTTCATTTCTTCACTGATATATTATAATAGTTTTAATATATTTATTTTTTCTCTTTTATAAATTATTTTCTATTTCAGAAATTGATTTTACACATTCTTAAGTTTCCTTTTTATCTATTTATCAAATAAGCAAGCAAAAGGGCACATTTTTAGGTGTACCATGCATTTGTGGAATTTTGTTCTGTAACATTGTTAGGTAATTAACAAAAAAGACTATATTGTACTGAAACAAGCAAGGGGTTGAAACTTTTGTGAAGCCAAAGAAAACAAAAGGAGCTTGATTATAGTAACCATGCATGATGCATGCATGCATGGTGTCATTGGTATCACAACGGATCATGGTTATGTTCGGAACATGTGGGAAAATTTTCATGGTTACATTATGATTGATGTGCTTCCACTTGCTTCTACTATTTTACATTAATATTATCTCTTTTTATACTAATTTTTTTTTCAATCTCTTTTCTTAAAAAAATAAAAATAGATTGATACTCTTTTTTTATAAATATATAAATAACAATCCTAAAATAATAATATTTTAGTTGATTATATAAACATAACGAAATGAAATAAATAAACAATAATATAAAAATTATTATAAATTGTTGATTTTGTATTTTTGCGTTCTTAAAATATCATCATTTTTGTTTCTTTCTCTTTCAATTATCTAGTTTATATTAAGATTGGAACGTGTTGTAGTTCCTAATAAGGGTCTTGTTAACTTCAACATTCAGATTTCTATGTACATATATCAAAGATCTTGCATATTTTTTTCACAAAAAAGTTAATGTTCTAGGATCAGATTTTGCATACAAAGTTACCTCTTAAGGCTTGACACTTTTTTCATGGCATTATTCATTATTTGTCTCCTTTTACTATTCTCCTTTTCTTTTTCATCATACCGTGATTTTTATTTATTACATCATAATGATTTTGCTTAGAAATATTCAATACAATACATGTTAATACGAATAGATTTTTAAGTCTGTTGAAAATATTAATGATGAAAAACATAGTATTTTATAATTAAATATTTTTTTAACAGTTTAATCGTTATTTTGTATTTCAATGAAAAAATTAAATATATTACATCACTAATTGATATTATCGTTATGAAATCCAAATTTTTTATAAATTATTTATAATTTATAATTTAATTTTTTTAAAATGTTTAAATTTAAGAATCTATTATATTTTAAAAAATACGATTACAACAAAAATAAATATATAAAAAAATTAAATTAATAAATTTTTTTAAAAGATTTCAGTTTAAATTATTTTATCTTTAAAATCATTAATAAGATCCGTATTTTAATGTGAAAAATTAAAAATAGTTTTATTTAAAATGGTATTTTGATTATATATTTTACTGATAATGAGATAAAAAGAATAAATAGAAAAGTTGAGGAGAATTAGAATGGTGACATTGACCATGGAAGGGTTGAATTTGAAGCAGATAAAGAGTCAAAAAGAAAAAAAAATATAAATTACTTGAGTGCTTACTTTTAAGATATTTCATTTCAAATATTTATAAGAATATATGAGTCAGACTAAACCACGCATGTTTTACACTTTATCACAGATTTTTTTATTTTATTTAAAATATATGTTGATTGATTGAGGAAAGAAAATAAAAAAATAAAAAACTATTTTTATCTTTAACTCTTAAAACTTTGATAATATATAAACACTAAATAATATATCTTTAATTATATATTTTACTATTTAATTATTTAGTTTTATAAATTTACTACTTAATTTGTTCTCATATCTTTTATAATTAAACTTTTTTTTTATTGACTTAAATAAGTTTTCTTTTCTGGTCCTATTATTTTTTTAAATTACTTCTTCTAGTTTACCTAATAAATTACACAAATTTAGTGGAAGCCCACACAAACATATTTATTAATACTCTTCCATACTATTTTGTTAACTCCTTTAAATGATTCTATGATATTTGTATATTTCTTTTTGGTGCCTCAATTTCATGTTTATCTTTACAGCCGACAAATTTTGCGTCATATTATAATCACACACAAGAAACTCAAAATTTTGAAGTCCATCCTATTTAACTCATATTGCATAAAAACCTATAAAAAAAAAAAAAAAAGTCAACTCAAGACAAATCACATATTTAACCGTGTCACCCGTAAAACTGTAACCACCGAACCATCTCTCAAATTTCTCGACAATTTCTTAAACATCATGAAGAGAAAAAACACTCTATATGAATAATAAAATTAATGGAGTAATAGTTAACTGAAATTTTTAATTTAATATTAAACTTATAAAATAATTAACAAATATTAAAGAATGACCACATTTAAAACTTATTTTAACTTAATTTATTTATCTGTTAATGGTAACGAGTGAAAAATATGTTTAAAAAATGAAATAATTTAGTTTTAGTTTTTTTTTTTAAATGAATGTATAACATAGTTAAAGTTGACATGTTAATCAAATAAATAATAATTAAAATATTATATGGTAAAGTATACAAAGTAAATTACATATGATCTTAGTATTTTTATAAAATAGATTATTAATAAGTTTTGATCCTCTTTTATGGTCAAAATATTTTATAAATATATTTTGGTTTTATTTTAATTATGATATTATCGTTAAAAGTTAATTTTTATGTTGAATTATTATTTAATTTAAAATTCTCGTATTGTATAATTTTTTTAAAACAAGTTAATAATATGAAAAGAAAAACTATTTTAAAAATTCTTAATTTAAACTCTAAACAATATAAAAACAAGCGTACCAGAAACATAATAATACAATAAATTAAGATTATAATCATAATATATTTCTAATTTATTTCTACGAAAAATGGATAAAGTTGAGAGATAAAATAAAAATTTATTTCTAAATGATTCAACACATATTTAAAAGAAGTTGTTAAAAAATTTATTTACAAATAAAAATAAATATTTTATTAAAAATTTATATATAAAATTTAAAAATAATAAATATAATTTATATAAATTTATTTTTAATTTAAAATAAGTCATATATAAAAATTATAATAAAATATTTACTTTTATTTTTAAATATACCAACTCCATCAAAACAATGCAATCACAACGTTGCAAAACCCTCACCGTGGTTTTCGAATTTAGAACGTTAAAAACACACACAAGACAGCGCTCCATAAGACCCAAAACAATTTAAAAAGTTTGAAAAGGACAGAAGAAAGAGAGAAGAGCAGAAGAGTAATTTCGCATAAAGAAGGGTAACCACGCCAACAAATGCCACCATCCCCTCTTTCTATTTCCAGCTGTGACCAAATCATCCCTGTCCCCCCCTCACATGGCCCCCTCCATAACTTAACCATGGTTAACTTTTTACCATTTCCTTAACCACCCCATCATCATCTTCTTCTTCGTCATCATCTACCTTTTTTTTCTTTATTACCTTCTATAAAGTATGCATGCTCTCACCCATTACACTCGTACATACAACTTAATTTTTCCCTTCACAGAAACTCATCAATAATTAATTGGGTAAATGTATATATATATATATATATATATATATATATATATTAAGTTTTAATCAATGTCTCAATGTATAAAATGTAAATGTTGATTTCTCAATATTATTATTTCAATCACAACATGATTTCAAATATAAAATTAATTAATAATTAAAATAAAATAATTCCACAAAAACCTAATTATATGTGTAACATGCATTATTAATTGTTATTTGATAAATATAAGATGCATTAGGAGGACACACATGAAATAAACACTAATTAATTTAAAAAAAATCAATACATTAAATAATTAAATATAATATTTTTTAGATACAAAATAATTAAAAACTGAATATCTAAATGTATGAGATGATATTATATATATATATATATATATATATATATATATATATATATATATATATATATATATATATATATATATATATATATATAAATACAACGTTCGGTTGTTGTTTTATAGAATCAAATGCCACAAATGTGTTTAAGTAACTAATGTTAAGTTAGTTGAATTGAAAACTAAAAGTTGTTAAATTAAATGTTAAAATATAAATGAAAATGATATCATAAAATGATTACTAAAATATAAATTTGCTTGCGTATAATACGTTTATATAATTTTTTGTATACATAACTCTATAATTAATCATGAGCTCTTATAATTGTTTGTTGAAACAGCGTTTAATATTTTCATATTTAATTATAACATTATGCATATTATATATTCTACTATTAATAATATATATTATATATAATAATATTTTCAATAAAAATTAGAATAAAATAAGCATACATTTAGTATATGTCATACTTTTATGTTCATTGGTATAACAATAACTGGGAGTGTTTTTAAATGTCCCCATGTATTACTATTCACACTAATCAATTATTAATTATTATGAATAGTAATACAATTTTACTATCTCACTTCAAATCTACCTAGAAGTCAGAAACAATATAATTCAAATTGAACATTGGAAGAGTGACAAATTAAACTATTATTGTTTTTGGAACTAATTGAACATGTTAACTCCAAAAAATTGTACGTGTAGAATATATATCATTTACTTACTCCTATTTTTTGACTTAGATCATGGCTAACCCATTATGAGCATAGGCTATTTTTAATTTTGATTAAAATAATTTACAATTTATTTTAGAAAACAGGTATAAAATAAAAAAATAGGTACATATTTTATGCTAAAAGTATAAAAAAACCCATCGTTTTTGCATCTAATACTTCAGAATTTTTAGGTAAAGTTTACAAGATTGTTTGAAATAGTCAATTTTTTTTTTCAAAAATAGAAGATCCATTTTTTTCTCAAAAATATTCTTATTATAGAAAGTACAAATATACAATGAATATATTAATTTTTATACGTACACTTGCTCTTTGGCTTGATCTATTAGATTAACTTCAGAAGAATGTAAAAGCATTTTTATTTTAAAAATAATTGACATGAAACTAAATACCTGTCTTTTTTTGGTTTCCTTGTATTTAGAAATGTTGTCTTTTTTTAACCACACTATTTGGTCTTTAAATCCTTAACCATGGTTAACTAACCAAACACCCTCTCAATTTCCATCACATCTTTTAACTCCTCTTCCCACTCCTCACTTTCACTTCCACACTCCGACACTCTCCTTCTCCAACATGGCTGTTCACTCTCTCCTCCCCCTCTTACTCCTCTCCCTTCTCGCCGCGGTCTCCGCCCACAACATCACCGACATTCTCGCCGCCGATCCCCAGTACAGCGACTTCAACAACTTCCTCTCCCAAACCAAGCTCGCCGACGAGATCAACACGCGCCAGACAATCACTGTCCTCGCCCTCACCAACGCCGCATTCTCCGCCGTCGCCGCCAAGCACTCCCTCTCCGTCGTCAAAAATCTCCTCAGCCTCCACATCCTCCTCGACTACTTCGACAACACCAAACTCCACCAAATCACCAATGGCACCACGCTCTCGACCACACTCTACCAAACCACCGGCAACGCCAACGGCAACGTTGGATCCGTCAACATCACCGACCTTCAAGGCGGCAAAGTCGGGTTCGGCTCCGCGGCTGCCGGCTCCAAGCTCGACTCGACTTACACCAAATCGGTCAAACAAATCCCCTACAACATCTCCGTCATCGAAATCAGCGAGCCAATTATAGCGCCGGGGATCCTCGCTGCTCCACCGCCCTCGTCCGAAGTTAACATTACGGCTCTCATCGAGAAAGCCGGATGTAAAACGTTCGCCTCACTCATCTCCTCTAACGGACTCGTTAAAACGTTTGAGTCAACGGCGGATAAAGGCTTGACTATTTTTGCTCCTAATGATGAAGCGTTCAAGGCTCGTGGCGTACCTGATTTGAGCAAGCTCACCAACGCTGAAATAGTCTCGCTCTTGCAGTACCACGCCACTGCGCAGTACCTTCCGGTTGGATCTCTCAAAACCACCAAAAACGCTGTCAACACGTTAGCCTCCAACGGTGCCGGGAAATTCGAATTCACAGTTTCCGCCGACGGCGACTCTGTCACGCTCCACACCGGCGTCCACAACTCCAGAATCGCCAACACCATTCTAGATTCCACTCCGCTCTCGATTTACTCCGTGGACAGCGTTCTCCTTCCAACTGAGCTTTTCGCGAAGTCGCCATCGCCTGCTCCGGCGCCGGAACCGGCTAGCGCCCCTACTCCATCTCCAGCACCAACTCCTGCGGGAGCGCCTTCCCCGCTTCCGGCGTCGCCTCCGGCTCCTGCCGGAGAGACTCCAGCTGGCGCTCCGGCGGACGCGCCCTCTTCTGCGGCTGAGCAAAGCAATTCCTCCGGCAAGAGTGACAGTGTTCACGTGAAAGCTTCTGCGGTTCTCACTGTTACAGTGACTGCTTTGTCCGCTTTCGTTATTTCCACTTATTTTATGCAGTTTTAATAGTTTTAGTTTTGTTTTTTAAGTGTTTGAGTTTTTCAGTTTTTTTTCCCGGAATGTGATTGGACTGGGGAATTTGGTTTATTTATTTATTTTGTTATAAATTAAATTAGGCATGTGGTGATGTACGGCCTGGTAGTGGTGTAGTTTATTTTAGCTTTTTCATTTAATTTAATTTTTGGGTTATTTATGGAAGATTGTGGTGTTGTATCTGGTGTGGTGCTTTCTATTCAGTGTTACGTGGTATGGGTTATCCTCTGGCATATGATTAGGGTTGGAGATGAGGCAAGGCCACGTGGAGGAGTGTGAGTGGGGTCCTACGTGTTTCTTTTGGTGGGAACCACGCATTTTAACACATTTTTTTTTTTTTTTATATTGAAAGAAAAAAAATAGAACTCAGATCTGGCTCTGAGGACTGTGCGGCGAATTGTTTTTCAATTCCAAACAATTTTTAAGGATCTAGGTGACGCGCAGGGCGTTTGGATTTAAGAGTTAACGCCCTCATTCAATTCCTTGATTCCCTTAGTACTTTAATATAAATGAGAAGTAGATGTATGAGTTAACAAAAACATAGGCCATATTTAATTTAATGAAGACCAAATGCAATTAATTAGGAGGGATTCATTAGCCTCTTTGTAGATGGTTAAAATATTTCCTCTTGTTCAACTTTTCAACCTTTAATCTAAGATGTTAAACTTAGTCTTTGTTCTTTAATTTCAGAAGATTTTCGTTTATTGTTAATTTTTCATTAGAAATTACTTATTTTTTATTTTATAAGGGAGAGTTGGAACAGGATAGAAGACAGGAAAAAGGAAATTAAACAAGAGGCCATCATATTAATTTTTGATGATATTAGCATAGTAGTTAATGTCGTCTTATGTTTCCACAGACTTGAAGCAATAATTTGATCGTTGTCTTGTCAACAACGGGTGTCACGCAATAATCTGGTTCATTTACAAAACTTTTTTTATCAAGTGTGTATTGACATGTTTAATGGATTTTTTTTATTTTCATTTCTTTTTTTCCTTTAGCTTTTTGGAAGGAATGTACTTTGATTGCACTTAAAAAATCTACTGGAAACTTCGCATTCACGTGGTGGTATGATTTAAATCGTTACGAAGTTATTCCATGTAAATTGGTTTTATATTGAAATTTTAATATGATATTAGGATCAAAATTAAAATTTTTTAGGTTATTATCGGTGTTAAAATTTGTCTTTAAATATTCTTTTTCTCATGTTGTAGGTTTGGAGGGACGTGTTGGAAATTATAGTTGGGTCAAAAGTTTTCTGGTTTGGTTATTGAATGAATATATTAGAAGTCATACGTTTCCTGTCTAATGTGATATAACATGGTGTATTTTCGATATTATTAATTAATTTTACATTAAAATTTTATGTTGAAATTTTAACAACATCATTTGTGGACAGAGTTTTTGATTCTGAACTTTGGGTGATTGTAAAAGATTTCTACCACAAAATAAAACCATTCTTCCAAAGTGTAGATGTACTAAATTGGAAGATTACTTTTTTCAAGTTTCAGTCATGGTGACTTTGTGTCTTACTCATTTGAAACATAATGTATTAATCTAGTCTTTGTTATGGGTTATGTGCATGCCTAATGTACAAGCATAAAATTATAGTCTCTTCTGTTAAGTAGTATTTGGGTTTCGGAAGATTCTTCCTGAATTTTTATTCTTCTTATGAAAACTGCTTGTTTCAATTGTCATTTATGTATTCAGAAAGTGATTGTTGAAATATAAAAAAGAGTGGGCATGTGAGAAGAGAATAACATAGAATTTTCATAATATCTTAACTTGGCACAACAGATGTATTGTGCAGTTTTTTACAAAAACTAAAATAAAATAAAGTTTAAAATATAATTTGATTTTTACGTGTTCTATATTTAAAAATATTTAATTTTATCCTAAATGCGTTTCTATTAAACTTAATCGATTCTCTTTATCGTTTTATTACCACACTAATTTAATCAATGACATGTGTCAAAATTATAAGATTTTTCATGTTGATTAAAACCAACATTGTTAAAACATATATGAAATAACCATTTTGTTATAAAGATACATATCAAAGTACAGCTTTATAAATTTATGAGTAGCAAAACTAAAAAAATAAATAAAAAGTGACTCAATTTATATTTTAAGTTAATTTCAAATATATTTCATATATGAGATACAACACAAATATGTCTTTTTGAAACTTATATATCAATACTTTCTGTATGTAATATTGGGTTGTAGAACGTTAATTCTATACTCATTAGTGAAAAAAAGGGCTTTCACGTCACTCAATTGTTGTCGCATGTAAAAATATTCGACGTAAATAAAACGCGGTGACAATTTTGTAAATAAGAGACAAAACTTTTACGTCGCACCCAGCACGCGACGTAAAAAGTCCCTTTTATTTCCCCCCAGACCCACTCCCTGGTCTCGCGCAGCAAGGGTTTTTGAGAACGACGACGAGAACGACGACAACAACTACCTCTGCACATCATTTTCGATCAGTTTGACAATGAAAAACATCAATATTGTGTGTCATTTTACGAACTTGATATTTCTCCCCAATTGGATTCGAGTTTGAAATCATTTTTTGTCTACACTCGAGGTTAGTGTTCTATGTCATTGCTATATGTTTAAATTGAATCTGTAATTGTTTTTGGGGATCTCAATCACGTTATTGTATGAATGTCTTCACTGGATTGTTATTGGAATGTAATTATTTGTTTATTTGTTTGAGTGCATTTTCGGTTTACACACTCCATTTACGTGCTTTGTTGTTTGTATATTAATTTCTTTTTACATATAATTTTTAAATCTCTAGGAGTGACGAAACTTTATAACATAATATGAATCAAAGTTGGATGAATGCACGTCGTATTAGTGAAGAGTACGAAAAGGGAGTTGAGGAATTTTTGAAATTTGCTAGTGAAAATGGAAAAGCTATGAAAGGGACATATTATTGTCCATGTGTTCGTTGTTTGAATCAAATTCGTCATAAACTTGAGGATATACGTAATCAATTGTTTGTTTATGGTATTATTAAGAGTTATACAATATGGACATGGCATGGAGAAATATTAGACATCCCAACTGTGTCAACTACAAACAATTTTGATGAAGGGATGAATGATAATCTAGAGGATATGATACGTGATATTGGTGAAGAAAATTTTATGAAAGCACATCTATATGATTCTTTGAAATCTGATTTTGTGCAACAATTGTACATAGGATGTAGTTTTACAAGATTATCAGTAACTTAAAAATTGTTTACTTTAAAAGCAAGAAATGGATGGACTGATAAAAGTTTCACCGAATTATTGGAGTTGTTGAAGGAGATGCTTCCTGAAGATAATACATTACCTATTCGTAACTAAGAGGCAAAGAAAATATTATGTCCAATGGGTTTAGAGTACAAGAAGATACATGCATATCCTAATGATTGTATATTGTACAGAAACGATTTTGCTAAATTAAAGATGTGCCCGACATGTGGTTTGTCGAGGTTCAAAAACAAAGTTGAGGAAAGTAGTGGTGAGGAAGAACTAGATGGTCCCCCTGCTAAGGTGTTATGGTATTTGCCAATTATACCTAGGTTTAAAAGATTATTTGCCATAAAAGAAGATGCAAGAAACTTGACATGGCATGCAAATGGTAGAAAATGTGACAATCTTCTTCGACATCCAGTTTATTCTCCACAATGGAAAAGGATTGATGAAACCTTTCCAGAATTTGGTGCAGAGCCAAGGAACTTGAGAATTGGATTAGCTACAGATGGGATGAATCCTTATGGAAATTTAAGTAGTAAACATAGTTCATGGCCAATTTTGTTGATCATTTAGAATTTGCCTCCTTGGTTATGCATGGAGAGAAAATATATGATGTTATCTATGATGATTTCAGGACCTCGACAACCAGGAAATGACATAGATGTATATCTTAGTCCTTTAATTGATGATTTGAAGATGTTGTGGGAAACAGGAGTGAATGTATTTGATTCATATCACGAAGTGAATTTCAGGTTGCGTGCAATGTTATTTTGTACTATAAATGATTTTCCAACATATGGTAATTTGAGCGGTTATAGTGTGAAAGGTCATTTAGCGTGTCCTTTATGTCAAGAAGACACAAGTTATATCCAATTGAAACATGGACAAAAAACTACGTACAATAGGCATAGAAAGTTTCTAGTTGCTAATCATCCATATCGTAAAATGAAAAAAGCATTTAATGGATGTCAGGAGAATGCAGTTGCATCAGTACCACGCAATGGTGAACAAGTATATGAGCAAGTGAAAAATATTAATATTGTGTTTGGAAAGACCCAAAAGAAATCCAATGAGAAAAACATTTGGAAGAAACAGTCTATATTCTTCAATCTTTCAAATATTGGTGTAAGTTGGAAGTTAGACACTGTATAGATGTGATGCATGTTGAAAAAAATGTTTGTGATAGTATAATTGGGACATTGCTTAACATAAAAGGAAAGACAAAAGATGGAATAAAAGCAAGACAAGATTTGGCGGACATGGGTATACGTTCTGAATTACATCCACAATCAGTTGGAAAACGTACTTACTTACCTCCAGCTTGTCATACTCTATCAAAGAAAGAAAAGAGAAGCTTTTGTGAGTGTTTACGTGAGGTCAAAGTGCCACAAGGATACTTCTCAAATGTTAAGAGTTTTGTGTCTATGCAAGTTGAAATTAGTTGGTTTAAAGTCTCATGATTGTCATGTGTTGATGTAACAACTTTTACCAGTGGCTATTCGAAACATCTTACCAACTTCTGTTAGAATTGCTATTACTTGGTTGTGTTTGTTTTTCAACGCCATTTGTAAAAAGGTAATTGATCCAAAAAAGTTAGATGAATTAGAAAATGAAGCAATTGTAATAGTGTGCTAGTTAGAAATGTATTTTCCCCCTTCATTTTTTGATATCATGGTGCATTTGATAGTCCATTTGGTAAGGGAAATTCGGTTATGT